CCAAGGTATTCATTGTCTCAAACGTTGCTGGTTTTAATGAAATTCTTCTTTATGGTAGGCTCAGTAAGGCCGTCTATACATTAGCAATAAGAATTTAAAACCAGAACAGGAACCACAGCAGATTATTTACATGTATTACTAGCTGCCGACTCACCTCCAATATAAAAGGTGGTGTCCTTAGGACCAAAATATACTTGCTACAAAATATGATGTGAAATAGTGTTCACACAGAAAAATAGGTCTCAATAGAGAACAAAAACTGCGGCTGAAAGCTAATGAATATAACAAGCTTTATTGAAAGCATCAAAACTACCAAAGAACGATTACCTCTTCCTCCCAGCATAATTAAAATAAATTACAATGTTGTCATGAACGATAAAACCAGCCCGGGCCACAGGTGTACCAACCACACATACATGGTGATGCATACATATCATGATGTATACTGTGAAGTAGCCCAATGCAAGTGGTTATACTGTAGCAACTACACGTGCACACTGGAAAAAGCAGGAAACCTCCTATGAGTATGGACAACTTTGTGGCTAACTGCAGGTAATTGAATAACTGGTGTTGCTGTCCATGATGTGAATAAATGGAGGTAAGGGTCCAACAATCAGTATGACAGACTAGTATGGCAGGATTTTATTGAGTCCATCTTGTACAGAAAATCTGATAACTAGTGTCATGCTGTGGCAGTGGTATAAGGATGGCAAATAGGAGCAATCCCCCTATCAGCTGAATTAGACAGGGCAAAGCATATATCATGCTATACTTGCAGGAACGGAGGTGGCGGCAGGGCTGGTTCACTTAGGGCAGTGTTTCTCAATTCCAGTCCTCATGGACCCCCAACAGGTCATGTTTTCAGGATTTCCATTATTTTGCACAGGTGATTTGATCAGTTTCACTGCCTTAGTAATTACCACAGCTGTTTCATCTGAGGGAAATCCTGAAAACATGACCTGTTGGGGGTCCATGAGGACTGGAGTTGAGAAACACTGCCTTAGGGATTGGGATAAGCCAGATTATAGCCGGAAGCCAGACTAAAGATAAAGCGGCAGCGACAGCGCTGAGCAAACTTTTTGGCGCTATATAAATACTGTATAATAATAATAATAATAATATATTCATGGAGCAGTACAAGAGAACGTCCATTCATGGCATACACGTAAATGTAACTCGCCACGTGTCCATGCTTCCCAGTGCAGATACAGTCCCAAAATCAGCTCCCAATATAAATACCGCCAAGATGGGAAATGATACTGCTCAGCACACCAGGTATAATGATCTGCACAATTCTGTCTCATCGCTACGGACCTCCGTGCTTGGCTTCCATGATAACCTCACTGCAGATCAGATGACTCCATCCAGAGTCAATACATTAGTCATATTTTGTTCAACAGCGGGTTGAACAAAAAAAAAAAAACTAGATTCCCACATCCACACATTTGACATGTATAGGAGAATCACTCCCCCTGAGGTAATACACTGATAAGTGCTGCCAGCTACTGGTGGTGCTGATCATGTGGAAATTTTCCTAGAGGCTGGTTGTACAGAAGTCGATCAGTACACTGCCCTACGAACTGCTGATCCCTGCCCTCTGCTCTGCTAACCCCTATCCTCTGACCTGTTGACCCCCAGAACACTCAGCTATTTATTCCTGTTTTTGTACACTGCCCTGCTGACCTCATATCCTCTGCCCCCTGACATTTTTTACTGCACCCCCATATCATACTGGCTAGATGTGGCCCTGTATAGCGCACCCCTTAGGGAACCGCTGGTGAACTTGATTTCTTTTCCCCAGTTAAAGTGCACACATATAGGCACATAGCATTTTATCCACTCTTCCACTGGCTCAAATATAACAGTCTAGGGGGGTCTTTTTGATGTTTTATTGGAATATTAAACTTGGATGGAATGAAGGGAGCATGGGATACCCCAAACTGGTGAACTGAACTCTTTGTGAACTCTTCTCTATCTCATTGAGCTGCACAAATACTCCTACAGAATCTCTACTGCTGACTGGTGATTATGACTTCTTTCAAAAGACTGAGAGCTACACACAGTCGCTAACTTCCAGCACTTGAGTTGTCTACTCACAATGCCACAGGATCATCTGTTGCCTCCTTCTGATATCTACCTGGTACCCTTCAGTGAGGGAGATGCAGACTCATTCCACCATAGGACAGCTGAACTTTTTTCCCCCAACTTGCTCCTGCCACTCTACAGGGAGCTTCTCCAGACCCAAACTGACTCCAGGACTAGGGTTTGCAAATAGGCCCCCCAGCTAAGGCTACAGCTGTCTTCTAAATGGCACCTCCAGTATTTCTTCCACAGGGGTACAGCCGCACAATGGTCTGGACTGCACCCAGGAACTCCATCTGCCTTAGTCCTCAGACTATTTATGTGCTCTCCAGCCACCTACTAGACACATCTCCCCAGTGATTGGCTGGCTTCCCTATAAATATTCATGCTGCCCACTCTGTTCTTCCTCTCTCTATGATTCTAGAATCCTCCAGAATACAGGAGGAAGTATCAGAGCAGCAGCCTGTGAGAAACTGAGCAGGCTAAAACAATCAACCACACTCCACTGATTGCTGATAAGCTAAACTAAACTTACCTAACAAACTGCAGCAAGTAGGAGGGTGCTACACACATTTGTATGGATATTTTTACAAGTCCTTTGGTGCAGCCTTTCTCAGTTCTGTGGAATCCTAGGGTCCCTCCAGAGGTTGCTAAGGGTTCCTTTAGCAATGAACAATTTCTAACTCTCAGATAATTAGCCACTGACACCAATGACTTTTTAGGCTATCTGAAAGGAGTGAAATCATCCTACTGAGCACAAATGTAGGGAGCATTCTTGCTATTGACCATCATGCTAATGGACCATGAGCTGTGGATATAGTAATTATTAGCAGGGGCTCCTTGAGATCAGAAAATTATTTTAAGGGTTACCCCATGTTAAAGGTTAAGTAAGGCTGCTTTAGAAGGTGAAAGTATTCCCATATACAGTATGTATTTCAGCTGTGCTTTCTACTGTTTGCCTGGAGTTCGTATATGTTATGGTACTTCACTGCAACTACCAGATATATGAAGTCTTTTTAATTTGGTGTTTCTTAACTTGAAATTCACATTTTTCCAGTCTCTGCTCAAAAGAAGAAACAGCGATGGTGTCGGGCAGAGTATTCGTACAAACCAGGGAAGCCAGATGAGCTGGAGCTTGTAGCAGGGGAAGTGCTAGAAGTCCTAGAGGAGGTGAGGCCATTTATATGTGCTCAACAATTTGCCCTTCAGCTTTTGTTGACTATTCTTTAACAGGTCATCATTGCATTTATTGCTAAAGCCTTCTATTTTGACTTGTTCACTACAGAAGAATGATATGTTTTAGTTATCAGTAGTAGTTAGATTACAGTTTGACATTTTTACATGATTGCACAATATTTTTATAAAGTAACTAACTAAGGCGTTTATATTTGGTAAGGGTATGACTGCTATTAGTCAGAAAAACACTACTCCTTATCCTGTCAGCTAATCTAGCTTAATGTAATTGAGACCAAGCTTGGCAGAAACTATTTTCATCCAACATGTAACACATGAAAGTGGAGGGCACATAGTTTCTGGTCTGAATTAATAACTTGGGAATGGTGAGTTTAACAACCAAGGATGAAAAATGAGGAATATATTCAACAGCAGCTCACTCTTCAATAGCTGAAATAAGATATTGTTTGTTTAACCACCACCCGCCTGCCATATAGTCCAATGATGGGTGCAAGGTGGTTCTCTCGTTCTGATAGGACGTCATATGACGTCCTTCCATTCTCTCTGCGCATGCGCGGCTCAGGGAGCGCGCAGCGTGGCGATTGGCGGTGCTCTGTGTCCCTCAGACACTGCGGATCACCAATCCATGGACAGAGCCGAAGATGTCGGCTCGGTCATGTGATCAGCTGTGTCCAATCACAGCTGATCACATGTAAACAGGGAAATGCCGGTTATCAGTTTTTTCTCCTCGAGCTGTCACGCTGACAGCTCGAGAGGAGAGGAGAGGCGGTAATCGGCATTCCGTGGAGGGGACATGTACACTGATCATCAGGGCACTGATGATCAGTGTGCCCTGATGATCAGTATGGCTCCAGAAGTGCCACCTGTCAGTGTCCATCAGTGCCAGCTGTCAGTGCTGAATAGTGCCACCTGCCAGTGCCACATCAATGCCACATATCAGTGCCTACCAGTGCACATCAGTGCCCATCTGAGCTGCCTTTCAGTGTCACCCATCAGTGCCAGGCAGTGCCACCTATCAATGCCAATCAGTGTCACCTATCAGTGCTGCCAATCAGTGGCACCTATCAGTGCCAGTCAGTGCCGCCTATCAGTGCCAGTTAGTGCCACCTAACAGTGCCAGTCAGTGCCGCCTATCAGTGCCAGTTAGTGCCACCTAACAGTGCCAGTCAGTGCCACCTATCAGTGCCAGTCAGTGCCACCTATCAATATATCAGTGCCATATATCAGTGCTGCCTTTCAGTGCCCATCAGTGATGCCTGTCAATGCCCATCATTGCCACCTATCAGTGCCTCGTCATCAGTGCCCATCAGTGCCACATATCAGTGTCCATAAGTGCATCTTATCAGTGGCCATCACTACAGCCTCATTAGCGCACATCAGTGAAGGAGAAAAATCACTTATTTACAAAATTTTATAACAAAAACTAAGAAAAAACTTTTTTTTTCAAAATTTTCAGTGGTTTTTGGTTTGTTTAAGAAAAAAATAAAAAACCCAGAGGTGATTAAATACCACCAAAATAAAGCTCTATCTGTCACAAAAAATGATAAAAATTTCATATGGGTACAGTGTTGCATGACCGCGCAATTGTCATTCAAAGTGTGACAGAGCTGAGAGCTGGAATTTGGCCTGGGCAGGAAGGGGGTATAAGTGCCCTGTAGGCTAGTGGTTAAAAAGATAACTAATAATTTGAGTAAGTATTTCATTATAAACCAAACTGGTATTCGGGGGCGGACTGACCATTTGGAAACTAGGGTACTGCCCGAGGGCCCGGGGTCAGTAGGGGGCCCCATGAGATGCTCCTTTGTACCTTTTTCATAGGCTTTTTTGAGTTTGGGCAAGGACACAGGGGCCCCATGATCCCCTATTGCCCCCATGAGTTGTCAGTCCGCCCCTGCTGGTATTTCAGTATACAGTAGGTACTGTTAGAGATTCTGTATATAGCCCTACAGAACAGACAGAGCACAGTCCATATATGCTTATCTGCTGCTTCTCCTAACAGGAAACAGGAACTTTATTATAGAGTAAAGACATAGAGTTCATCATAGATGCAGCTATAAACGTATAAACACTGCCATCTACTGACTGAAGAATATATCTCTACTAAATACTTATGTAGTTGTTGCACAAAATACATGAACATTGTATTCCAACTGGAACAAAACAATTCTAGAAGTCTTAACAACTAGTGACTAGTGAACTAGTGTTTTCTCTAACTGGTGTGTAGCAATAAAACACACATGTGCTAGTATAGTATGAGCACTCATGTCTGTGCTCTGCTCGCCTCACAAGTGACTTATACCCTGTTAGCAGCAAGTCAGCAGAACATATATTCCCTTCCTGGGAGGGCAGTCATTGGGCTCCACTGGCCCACAGGAAAATACTTCATCTTATTCTTAAAGCGTTAGTAAACCGGCCAAAAAAATTCTAAAAATTCTTCTCCCTACATCGCATATTAGCACATTACGAAAGACTTACCTGAAACCAAAGCCCTCCAGCGGATCACACTCATGGCTTCTCGAGAGTTCCATCCTCACTCATTCCAACTTCATCTTCCTTCCGGGTTCACAAGCTGTGGCCATCAGATTGGCCGACCTGCGATGTTGTCAGTCCTGAGCATGCACGAAGGGAGTTTTAGCTGTGGCACAGCTCTCTTAAGGGATGTAAATTAAGAAAAAAAAATTCTAAATGAAAATAAATTAAAAGGTATTAAAAATCCAATTTAGGAAAAATACATTAAAATACCACCTAAACCCTAGGCTTTTGATTTTAACTGAAACTGATTCCTAAAACTAACTAAGCTTCTAGAACTGCACACCCACATGATGGCTCTGTTTGCCTTCCTCCAACCTTATCTTCTCTGGTTGTAGGCATGAAGCAGCGGTGCTGTCATTTAGTGTTTGTAAACATTACTAGGTGTAAATCAAAGATCACACTGTCTTCAGGAATACCTATTAGCTGTGTTAGTCAAGTAATTACATCACCCCTGTAGTCTGTGGAACTATGACGGAGGGGTTGAAGTCAACATCAGGACAGGAAATGACTCTGGATGTTGCACAGCCAGAAGTACTGTGTACAAAAGCCCATACAATTAAGTTTTTTCTTTCACTGAATCATTATTGCATACAAGTAAATTAGCTTAGAAAATAGAGGTGTGCTATCAAGACACACTCTACTAGAGCAGATAATTATCAAATATAGAATTCCACTTTAAGTGTCAGGGGTTTTATTTAGGAGGTTTAATTGCTGAGGACTTTAAAGGTTAGGTGCTTTACTTTAAAAGGACCAAGGGACTCTAGGGTTGGGGGCCTAAGCTTAGGTAGCTTTAAGGTTGAGAACTTTAGGGAGTTGTGGATAAGGGCCATTTCATTAAAGGCTTTAGTTTAGGGTTTTATGTTGTGGGCTTTAGGGTCCATGGATTTTGGGTTTTGGGGGGTTTAGGTGACTGTAGATGAGTGGACATCAAGGTCAAGGGCTTTATTTAGGGGCCTTTAAAGATTGGGGCTTAAATGTTTCGGGATTTAGTTTCGGAGATATAAGATTGGGGCCTTTTACTTGGAAGGTTTTTCAGTCATGAAACGTTAAAAGTTATGGGTTTAATGGTTGTGAACTGGGGTTCTGGATTAGGTGGCAATAGACTCAGGGGAAATAATTTAAGGGGTTTTAATATTTGATGACTTTAACTTTGAAGGTTTATAGTTTTGGGCTTTAGTTTCAGAGGTTTGACATGTTGGGTGCTTTAATTTGGGGGCATTAAAGTAATATATTTAGTTTGGAGGGCTAGGAACTTTAAAGTTTAGAGATTTAGGGTTAGAGGATTTGGTTTAGGAGAATTTAGAGGTCTGGGTCTTAAGTTTAGAGGTCTGTATATAATGGGGCATTGGGGTCATTGGCATTAGTTCAGGGGAATTAAGAGTTAAAGACTTGAATTTAGAGAACTGCAAAGGGTGGGGCATTAGCTATGGAGGTTTAGTTTTGTACATTAGTTTAGAAGGCTTTAAAGGGTATGAGAGATTATTTTAGTGAGCTTTAAGGGCTCAGTGCTTTAGTGTAATTGGTTTTTAATAATTTGTGGCACTTTTTTACTACATCCCTGCCCATCTTTTTTTGTCCTGGGTAGAGTCAGCCTTACAAGTGAAAACATAACATAAAAAAGAAACATAAATACTGAAACTAATAGAAAAAAAAGTGATGGCGGATAAGAATCTGTTAATGTATGACTGCTCATACCAGGATCATTGCTCTAAGTAAAAGGAGTGTTTCTGCCCAAGCTTACCAGACCATATGTGGGTGGTCATGTGTACCCTGCAGCCAACAGCATGGTCACATGACACAAGTACATTATATTCCACATGCAGGTGGAGGGAAGGTAACATACTGGCAGCTGGGTACCTGCCATTGTGGTGTAGAACAGGCTGTAAATTCACAGGAGGGGCTGATTCAACTAGCTAAAATGCAAGCAGCTGCATAGGCAACATTTTTGCCAAACTGGCAACAGAACTCCAGCAGTTGCGAAGGAGGTATCTGCTCTGGGAAGGATGGAGATTGTGTTTGAATGCTTTAGTGGAGGTTGGAAACATGGAAAGTGAGGAAGTAGAGGATGTATTGTATGAGGTGTGGCTCTCACCAAGCTCAGTAGTGCAGTCACGTGTTTTCTTCATGGCTGCAGATCACAGCAGAAGTTGCACTACAAAAAAGCCAACACTACAGAGCTTTGTGGACTAGCCCTAGGGAATAACAGTGGCTATGCCTGTGGGGCAATGCTGTCACCATTAAATTGGCTACTAAACAGCAACTACAGTTGTTGTTGATGCACACAAAATGTTAGTCCTAAGAAGTTCGAATTGTTGGGTCTCTGAACTGATGTGCCACTGGCCAGCTTTTAAAGGGTATTATCTTTATATTTTTTTGAAAATTTTGAATAGCTTTCAGAACTGTTATGGTTGCCTCTTCCACCTGACATTTCGTGGCCTACCTTCACTTGCAAAAATCAGGCTTTGCAGTAAAACCTACACATCGTACCTAAAAAAAGCCTTTTTTTCAAGCTACATGTAAAAGTAAAAAAAAAAAAAAATTACACATCCAAAATATGTCATGCCAGAATACTGTCTATGAAAATCACATTATTCCATAACAGTACATACATTTTAAATGCAAGGTTCTAATTTTTTTGGTAGGAGGGGGATAACTTGGGTGCCACTTTAATTTTTTTTTACTTAACTTTATTGCTATAAAATAGGTTATTTTTAATGAGACATCAGGGGGTTTATTTACTAAAGCTGGAGAGTCCAAAATCAGACTCCCTTCTGCATAGAAACCAATCAGCTTCTAACCTCAGCTTGTTCAATGAAGCTTTGGCAATGAAACCTGGAAGCTGATTGGTTTCTATGCAGAAGGGAGTCTGATTTTAGACTCTCCAGCTTTAGTAAATAAACCCCCAGGGGTCTGTTAGACATCTGTTGTTTCCCTGCTCTCCACTGAAGCTAATGGCGCACAAATCATACTCCATTAGCTGTTTCCGTGGCCAAAGCTGCTGGCAAAAGTGATAGCAGAAACTGAAAGTGATATATTATATGTGTCTTCTATGTTCTTACTAGCTACCTGATTAATCCCACCATATGGGACACAGGCTCACAGGTGTGATAGCAGAGGCCAGGAAACAAGGGAAGGGCTGGTTTGGATAACTTCCATCTGAAAGCCAACAGCTTCTGAAGTGTGCACACATCACTGGCTGCTATAGCAGCTGAATGTGTGTAAAACGACCTCTGCTGTGAAAGTAAGTACCAGGGGTGGACTGACAACTCATGGGGCCCCCGGGCAATAGGGGATCATGGGGCCCCTGTGTCCTTGCCCAAACTCAAAAAAGCCTATGAAAAAGGTACCAGGGGCATCTCATGGGGAACCCTACTGATCCCGGGCCCTCGGGCAGTGCCTGAGTTTCCAAATGGTCACTCTGCCCCTGGTAAGTACTACACCTGTGAACTCCAGAACTCCACAGTTGTATAAGCTCCTCTCTAGTACTGAAATTTCTTTCTCTAATAAAACTGCACGCTGTAGACTTCTTAGAAACTGTAACAAGTCAGGTAGGGTCTGCCTGGAGTACGTCAAACATTATATAACACTTTTCACCCCTGCCTGATTGTTATTGATCTGCCTCTTTCATTCACTAGTTTCAATCATAGTTTAGCAGTATTGCCTACTAAGAAATGCCCACTCATCTAAGCTGACATCCATGAGGGCATTTTGATAATGGCATAAATCTTCTCAAAGGGGGAGGGGGGGGGTATGGAAGGGTTAATATAAGATTAAAATTCAGTTTTGAATATATTTTAATCCCACAATTTGAGGTGCTCTTTCCCTTTAAAATATATTTGAGATGATCACTTTTTGTTTCTTTCCTGTGACTTGCATCACACAGATTGAAGATGGTTGGTGGCTGGGTAAAAATGGAGATCTAATAGGAGCTTTTCCATCCAACTTTGTACAGGAGCTTTCTGAACCACCACCAGGTAAGGGCCTTACCCAAAATAAGTTATTTTCATAAAATTGTTGAATGACATACATACTGCACTTTTTTGGAGAATGAAACCTTGTTTATATATGTTTACAAATTGTACATTTTTTATCTTGTACAGAGAAGTTTGCAAATTTTAAGAAAAACAATAAACAAAGACCAAAGATGTTGGAAATAAATTTTAAACCTAATGAAGAAGAAACGGTAAGACAGTCCAGCGGTACCTAGTTAGAAGTAAGAAGTTAAACATGGGTATGCAATATGAAAAGAACAACAAATACCTACCATTATTTCTTAAAGAGTTTTTGTAAACCTTAGCCTTGTATTCAGTTGTCATTGTAAAAATCATGCATTGTCCTCACAATTCTCTAATTTCAAGTGCCAAAATAGTCATCATTGAAATTGAAGATTCAAAGCAGCAGCATGGAAAATGTTTCTGTAATGATTTTCTAACACTGTATATAGTTTTCAATCAATTTGTTCCAAAATTGAATGTTAAAGCAAACAGGCGATAGGTAGAGGAAGCTTCTCAATAGAGAGGCTTGGTGGATTTTTAAGTTACAGACTAGATCCCCTTAAGGGGTAAATGTGAGATGGGATCTGGATCTACATTTGTATTAAAGTCTCCTTTGGTATTTTGTGGTCTTATATACATTGGGTAATAGTTTCAGATGCCCTTTTTTTATTCTTTTCTCTCCCTCTCTGCCCTCTGAGCTACATATAAAATGTCCAGCTTTCCTTTTTTCTTTAAATGTATTGATATGCATGAACTTTTTTGTTCAGTGTTTGCTTATTATGGTGGTTCGGGCATGATATGGGCTGTCTACTTCAGCTGTTGTCAATTTCCGTAATTTTGTGCTTGATTGGCCATTTAATGGGTGGATCCTTGTCCTATCCACCATATATATGCATTTTCTATGATTCATGTCACTGTATGGGTTATGACTAAGGCTTGTTAAGCCGAAACGCGTTAACCTTTGTACCTGTGATGTTTTTACTGTGGTCGATTTAATAAAACAAAGTTTTTAGAGCAATGGTGGTAGTGTGGATAGATTTCATTTAAAGCAAACAATACTTTTAGATGACATTTGTCAAGTCATTGAATGTATTAGGAATTTTGGTATGAATGTTCTATCTAAAATCTACTAATGAATGGCCAGCTTTAGTTCTTTCTGCTGTCTAGGAAGTGGATAGAGGATGAGGAAGAGTTATATGTTAGTTTAGATCTTATTTATCCTACTTACCAATATTTACACTTTAAGCTTCATACCTAGATTGACATAAAAAGTTCTGGTAGGCATTCTGATCTATGTTCTTGTTTCTTTCATTTTTCTTTAGCTAATCTACTCCATTGTCTAGTAATTTTTGGTTGTGAGGCAATATGCCCATTAAATGTATTGAGATTTCAGTAAAATGTAAGTTTGACATAACCGCCACCCCCACACTATTAAGTAACTATGTCCCCACAATACATTCTGTTTAAATTAATGCAGCAATCCTTTTTGCTTTATACCACGGACAGGCGGTCTGTTTTATCCGACCACCCATTGAGGAGAACGAGCTGCTCAGTGTCTGCTCTGCAGCAGTGGAGTGGACACGGATCTGTCATCTGCTTGCTCAGCAAGGATCAGCAGAGAGATCCCCCACTGAGCAAGTGGAAAGGGTCCACCCCGTGTGAAAGGACCCTTACAGGCACTACTATTGTCTGTCAGTTTTATAAATACAAACAAAGAATGTCATTAGAGATGAGCGAATCGAACATGGCGAAGTGGAATTCGTTTCGAATATTGGGAAATATTCGCGCCGAATCCGAAAATTAGCCAACTTCGGATGCACGAATCGAATTTTCCCAAAAATGGCGGCGACATGTGTGGCGACGGAGCGGGGAAGGCGCGCTCTCTGGGAAGGCGCGCAGACAGGCGCGCTGACCCATAATGCATTCATTCATGACATGTGATCGCATTAGCCAATCAGCAGCCAGCCAGCCAGCACTGTGTAATGGTCGAGCTATAAATTGCGGCCATCTTACAATTCTCCATTAGCCACTCCGGTCATTCAAGAGAGACAGACCTGTCTGTATTAGGGACAGAGTTAGGGGCCAGAGAGACTTTAGGGCCACAGAATCGTTACTTAGGGACACAGAATCGTTACTTAGGGACACAGAATGTACTCGTTACTCAGGGACACAGAATTGTTACTCAGGGACACAGAATTGTTACACACAGAATTGTTACTCAGGGACACAGAATTGTTTTACTGAGGGACACAGAATTGTTACTGAGGGGACACAGAATTTACTCAGTTACTCAGGGACACAGAATTGTTATTCAGGGAAATGTTACAGACACAGAATTGTTACTGAGGGATACAGAATTGTTACTGAGGGACACAGAATTGTTACTAACTGAGGGACACAGAATTGTTACTCAGAATGAGACACAGAATTGTTTACTGAGGGACACAGAATTGTTATGAGGGACACACAGAATTGTTACTGAGGGACACAGAATTGTTACTCAGGGACACAGAATTGTTACTCAGGGACAGACAGAATTGTTACTCAGGGACACAGAATTGTTACTCAGGGACACAGAATTGTTACTGAGGGACACAGAATTGTTACTCAGGGACACAGAATTGTTACTCAGGGACACAGAATTGTTACTGAGGGACACAGAATTGTTACTCAGGGCTGACACAGAATTGTTACTCCAGGGACACAGCATTGTTACTCAGGGACAGGACACAGAATTGTTACTTAGGGACACCAGCGGAATTGTTACTCAGGGACACAGAATTGTTACTGAGGGACACAGAATTGTTACTCAGGGACAGACACAGAATTGTTACTCAGGGACACAGAATTGTTACTGAGGGACACAGAATTGTTACTCAGGGACACAGAATTGTTACTCAGAGGACAGACACAGAATGTTACTCAGGGACAGACACAGAATTGTTACTCAGGTACACAGAATTGTTACTCAGGGACACATAATTGTTACTCAGGGACAGACACAGAATTGTTTACTCAGGGACACAGAATTGTTACTTCAGGGACACAGAATTGTTACTGAGGGACACAGAATTGTACTTAGGGAGAACAGAATTGTTACTTCAGGCACAGAATTGATTACTCAGGGACAGACACAAAATTGTTACTCAGAGGACACAGAATTGTTACTCCAGGGACACAGAATTGTTACTGAGGGACACAGAATTGTTACTCAGGGACAGACACAGAGAATTGTTACTCAGGGACACAGAATTGTTACTCAGGGGCACAGAATTGTTACTGAGGGACACAGAATTGTTACTCAGGGACAGACACAGAATTGTTACTCGGGACACAGAATTGTTACTCAGAGAACAGGACACAGAATTTGTTACTCCAGGGGACACCCAGAATTGTTACTGTCAGGGACACCACAGAATTGTTACTGAGGGACACAGATTATTTACTCAGGGACAGACACAGAATTTTTCAGGGACACAGAATGTTACTCAGGGACACAGAATTGTTACTACTGAGGGGACACAGGTAATTGTTATCTCAGGGACACAGAATTGTTACTCAGGGACACAGAATTGTTTACTCAGGGACACAGAATTGTTACTCAGAGACAGACAGCAGAATTGTTACTCAAGGGGACACAGAATGGGCGACTCCTACGAGGGACGACGAGCATTGTGTACTCAGGGACAGACACAGAATTTGTTACTCGAGGGACAGCACAGAATTGATTTACTACAGGGAACACAGAATGTTACTGAGGGACCAGAATCTTACTGAGGACACAAGACTCGTTACTCAGGGACAACAGAAATCGTTTACTCAGGGACACAGAGATTGTACTTCCAGGGACCACCGAATTTGTTTAACAGGGACACAGAATCGTTACTTGAGGTACACAGAATTGTTACTCATGGCGGACACAGAATTGTTACTCCCGGGGCACCGAATCTTTTAATTAAAAAAGTAAGTCAGACAACACGCAAGGATGGCAGAGGAGGCAATTTTCCCGGAGCGAGCAGAAAGGGCAGCCCGAGGAAAGGGGGGGAGGCAGCACTGTCCAGCCGAGCCCCTGCTCCCCCGGGGTCCCCTCCCCGCCCGGGGGCCCTGTTTCCACCGACAACCCTGCCGTCATCGATTTTTGGGTCCCGGTTTGTCTTCCTCTTCCCAGGGACCCACCCACACACCAAAAACCCAACGGGCGGTGGGGACGGGCAGACCAAACCCTTTGTTGGGCCCTGGCCCGGGGGCAAGCCCACTGAAATCACGTGCCTCTACTGCCCCTGTCCTTTGGGGGTTTTCCCCCCCCCCCAAACGAAGTATCGCATGCCCCGTGGGCTCACCCCACTGGGACCGTGAAAGGGAAAAGCTAAAAGAAGGGCGGTCAAAGGGAAAGGGGGCAAAAACCCAACCCCCCCCCTTCACAGCCAGGCGAAGAAATACTGGCGAGGAGAGTGGCCCGGGAGCCGGTCCAGAGGGCAGGTCGTCTCCTTGGGGCCCACCCGCAAACCGAGGGGGCTAGTAGTGAGGCGGGGAAACCCCAAATTGTGATGATTGAGGCTGATCGCACTTGGCAGCCCCGTCGTCAACTGCCAGGCCCGTAATCTGCCAGGGGCCCCCCGTACCGGGCCCTAACTGCTGCCAGGCCTTTTAAAACTGTCAAAGGGGCCCCTGTACCCGGCCTCCCCACCTGCCTGGGCCAGGGGCCGAAATGTGGGCAGGGCCCGTACGGCCCTCCCATTGCTGGGTGTCTCCATCGCCCCACCCTGGGCCCTGTGCCAATTTAGGTCTCCTCCCACTGCTTGGGGGGTTTCCCTTTTTTCATAGGGTGCTTTGGGAAAATTACGGGCCCCCATTGCTGCTTTCCCGGGCCCGTAAACTGTCCCCTGGGCCCCCCACCCCCCTCCCTCATGCGCTGCCAGGGTCCAGAGTGGTCATGGGTCCCCTGTACGGCTCCCATTGCTGCTTCGTCCAATCGCCACTATCTCTGACCAGTGTGCCCACTGTCAGGTCTCCTCACACTGCTGGCGTGGGTTTCCATTTTGTCATAGGGGTCTAGCGATTACAGGCCTCCCATTGCTGCTTGCCAGCCTCGTAAGCTTGTCATGGGCCCTGGTATGCCGCCTCCTCATGCTGCTGCTAAGAGTCCATGAGTGTGTCCATGGGTCCCTGTACGGCCTCCCATTGCAGCTGTCTCCATCGCGCACAAGCCTCCTGCCATCTTGCCACTTTCAAGCCTAGGTCTCCGCTCACACTGCTGGTGTGTGAGGCGCTGCAAGACCCCTTTCCGGTTTTGTCATAGGGTTGCTGGCAGATTACGCGCCTCCCATTGCTGCTTGGCCAGGCCGGTAAACTGTCCATGGGCCCCTGTACCGACTAGTGCGTAGCCTCCTCATGCTGACTGCAGGTCCCAGAGTGATGTCAAATGGTTCCCTGTAACCCGCCGTCCTCATGATGGCAGCTGTTCTCCATCGCCATAGTCTGACTTGTGCCACTTTCAGGTCTCCTCTCACTCGTGGGGGGCTCCCATTTGTCATAGCTAGCTCTCCAGATTACGGGCACCCATTGCTGTGCCATGTGCACTAATTTTCATGCGGCCTGTACGCTCCTCACTGCTGCTGCCAGGTCCAGAGTGTGTCCATTTTGTCCCTGTACGGTCCATTGCTGCAGTCTGACCATCGCACACTCTGCCATGTGCCACTTTAGGTCTCCAAGACACTGCTGGTGGTTCCATTTTGTCATAGGGTGCTGTGCAAGCTTACGGGCCTACCCATTGGCTTTGCATCGCCAGGCCCGTAATCTGTCCCATTGGGCCCACCGTACCTGACTCTCCTCATGCTGGCTGCTAGGGTCCCCAGAGTGTCTCCATGGGTCGCCTGTACGGCCGACCCCATTGCCTGCTGTCTCCTCGCCACACTCTGCCTGTGCCACTTTCAGGGCACTCACATGCTGTGTGGGGTTCCATTTTGTCTAGGGTGCTGGGCAGATTACGGGCCTCCATTGCTGCTGCCAGGCCGAATCTGTCATGGGCACACTGTACGCCTCTTCTCATGCTGTGCCAGGTCCAGAGTGTGTCATGGGTGCCTGTACCGCCTCCTCCTTGCTGCTGCGATCCAGAAATGTCTCATGGGGTCCTGTACCGGCTCCCATTGCTGCTGTTCTCCACGCCACACTCTGCCATGTGCACTTTCAGGTCTTCCTCACACTGCTTGGTGGGTTCCATTTTGTTCAGAGGGTGCTGAGCAGATTACGGGCCCTCCCAAAGTGCTGCTGCGCCAGGCCCGTAATCTGCCTATGTGGCCCCCTGGGTACCGCCTCCTCATGCTGCTGCCAGGTCCAGAGAGTGTCATTGGGACCCCCTGTACGGTCCTCCCATTGCTGCTCGTCCTCCATCGCACACTCTGCCATGTGCCACTTTTCAGGTCACCGTCACACTGCTGGTGGGTTTTTCCATTTTGTCATAGGGTGCTGGCAGATTACGGGCCTCCCATTGCTGCTGCCTAGGCCGTTAATCTGCCGATGGGGCCTCCGTACCCGCCTCCTCAATGGCTGCAAGCCAGGTCCGTAAGTGTGTCCATGGGCCCCTGTAAGGCTTTTTGTTTTTTTTTTTTTTTTCCTCATCAGGCTGCAGTCACTCGCCATGTCTATGGGTCACTTTTCCAGGTCTTCTCACACGCCTGTGCTGTTCTCATACTTTTGTTCGACCAGGTGCTGTGCAGATTACGGGCCTCCTCCCCATTGGCGGTGCTGCCAGGCCCGTAATCTGTCATGGGTCCCCCGCAGACTGGGGCCTCCTCATGCTGCTGCCAGGCCCGTAAACTGTCGAGAGTGGTCTCATGGGTCCCCTGTACGGACCTCCCATTGCTGCTGTCTCCATCGCCACACTCTGCCACAAGGTGCCACTATTTTCAGGTCTCCTCACACTGCTGGGTGGGTTCCATTTTGTCATACAGGGTGACTGGCAGATTACGGGCCTCCGCCATTGCTGCTGCCAGGCCCGTAATCTGTCCATGGGTCCCCTGTACAGCCTCCTCATGCTGCTGCGCAGGTCCAGAGTGTGTCATGGGGTCCCTGTACGGCCTTCACATTTGCTGCTGTCTCCATCGCCACACTCTGCCATGTGCCACTTTCAGGTCTCCTCACACTGCTGGTGGGTTTTTCCATTTTGTCATAGGGTGCTGTATGGGGGGGGGGCCCCATTGCTGCTGCCTCCACCGCGTAACATGACATGTGGCTACTGTACACACTCTGGTTTTGGCTGCCCGTGAAGCCTGCCCGACAGGAGTGAAGTGTGCAGTGATTCCTCGGTTCTTAAGAACGAGACGGCACTCATGCTGCATGTCATACTGACTGGACAGTATTATTTCTCTTCCCCAGCAGACGTCCCAAGGGCAATTTAACAAGTTAAATGGTACAGTGTTCTGCACTAATATAAAGGCTCTCTGAAGCCTACGAAAACACCCCCATTTATAAAGTTAAATTCGCGCGATCCACCGATTATTCGACGTATTCGACACGAATGTTATTCCGCGCGAATTCGCGCGAATGCAGCCGAAATCGAATTTTTGAATTTACTTTTCGCTCATCTCTAAATGTCATAGTATAGGATAAAACGCTGGAAATAAATCTGAAGTCAGATAGCACCACGGTAAAGGTAACAACTCTTCCCCAGCAATAAAATCCATATGGGCATAAAGTACAGCGCTAAATAAATAAAATTAGATAAAATAAATAAGTATTGTGAGGTCAACCCAGTGCCGCGCTGATAGCCTAGGGCACAGCAGCTACATAAATCGTTGATAAATATGGAACACAACAAGTGCAAGCCATATGATAAAGTGAAATTAAAATAAATAAGTCGCGTATATAGTATCAGCCGAATCGAATTGTTGTGGAACTAGTAAGGCACATGCACTCATGGTGAAACGCTGGAAAACTGTGAGCATCATCCATGTTGAAGGAATCCACCACCTCTGTCAGGATGTTAACCTCAACCAGAAAGCGCTAACTAGTAAACAACATGTAGAGTCAATCACATGCAAGGACATAGGAAACACCAAAGCCGCTGAAATATGGGCAATGCTTTGCCAAGGACAAACTGCAGATGGACCTCTCCTCATATGAAGAACAGCTCACCACAGGAAGCCCAGAAATAAATGGTATATAGTGTAGTACGTGTATATAATGCACCAAGAATCAGTAAAAAACTGTGAAATCCACTTAGAGTAATTCCACCACCCTCTACTGTAATAAAATACTACACTATATACCATTTCTGGGCTCCTGTGGTGAGCTGTTCTTCCTAGGAGAGGGTCCATCTGCAGTTTGCCCTTGGTGGAGCATTCCATATACAGTAGAGGCTTTTGGCTGTTTCCTATGTCCTGATGTGATGTGCTTACATGCTATTTATCAATAGCTTTCTGGTGAGTTTACATCTGTCAGAGGTGGTGGATTCCTTCACTGGATCCTTTCACAGTTTTTTCACCGTGATTGCTGTGCCTTATAGTCCCATGGACATAATATATATATATATTTTATAATATATATGGACTTATTTATTTATTTTCACTTTATATGTTGCACTTGACTGTTCCATATTTATCAACTATTTATTTAGCGATGTACCCTATATCAGCGCTGCACTTGGTTGCCTCACAATACTTATTTAACTATTTATCTAATTTATTTATTTAGCGCTGCACTTTATACCATATTATAAATACAAACAATTGGCTCAGCTGAATATTTGTGTTTATGTAAACAAAGGTATAATATAGTGTAGGGCATGCAAAGACCATTAGTGCTGCTTAGCATGGAAGAGGAGGGAGAGCAATACTGACTGGGAAAGATTTGTTAAGTTGTCCAATGTGATATCCACAACAGTAGGGTGGCAGCGTCAGGGAGTGTCCAAAGACAGAAGATTTTAACCCAAATGAGTATTTGTCATTTCATGTCTTTGAAGGGAGGTCTGGCTTAAAATGATATTTACCTTGTATTATTAAGGGCCACCTAAAAAAAAAACAATGCCAAGGCACAAAATTTAATTATCCATAGCTGAACAGTAATGGTCTGGAATCTGCGTACACCTTAGCACTGCATTGTGGTGCACGTTTAACAGAATCTGTATGTTGGAATCATTGCACATGAATCGACAACTAAACCTAGGAATCTATTATTTCTAAAAAAAATGATGTGTACATGCCTCAGTATTAGAACAGCCATCATGAATAATCTCAGAAATAATCCCCTATGACTGTCCGTTCCATCTAGTGACCATAATGTGGTATTTTCCTGAATAAAGAATTTCAGGAAAATACTGAATTATGGCCACTAGAGGGACCTGATGATCATAGGAAATAAACATATTAGACACATTATGGGGCTTATTCACAGTGGCTATGCAAAGGCTTGAACATTTGCACTGCATTTAAAAAAAAATATACCCCTAATGTAAGGCTTTCTAAATAGTTCCCCTTCTCCAGTGATACTGGTGACACTGCAATGCAAATGACCATTTTGTCTCTCTGTTAAGTGTACCTATAATGTACACAGGAAAGTGTCATTAAGAAACATTGTGATACCTAAATAAATAATTTATTGTTAAAGCTGGTCTGTGTCCATTCCAGTAATGTTCTATTTATATTTCTGCTACACAGTTATGCTGTAAAAATTTTTCTACTGGGGAATTCTAAGGTTTTGAATTTACAATCCCTTGCAATTTTCCCCTTTTGACTAGCAATACAGGGCAGCTGTGATCTCAGTGTGAGTTTGGATAATGTGCCCACCAACACCCCCATCTTTTACCTACAGAAACACCAAATATACTGACTATGTAATGGCCATTTCTGATTGTGCCAGCATGTTTTTCTGAATTCCTGCTCAAGATGATGATCAGTGTATTCATTGAACTGAAACAACCACTGTAGCAGATGTGGCGATAAATACGTTCCCTGGCACTCCTAAACTCTGCTCATATTTGAACATATTTTGGTGCTTTGGTGTATAAGAACAGAGGGGAAAACATTTGATGAAAATTAAAAGATTTTTGCCTTGTTTTGTTTTTTTTCATCACTTTTTGACCAATAATGGAATAGAATTGACATTTTTTTTTGATTTATTCAATGTTACTTTTTCTTGAAGATAATAATTTAACTTGCAATTGCAATGCTTGCAGTCTCATGTGCTCTTAAACCTGGGTGGATTTCAATATATGATTATGATTGCTTATCTTGTTTCAGGTGAAACAAGAAGATAAAGCTGAAGTGAAACAAGTAGATAAAGCTGAAGTGAACAATGAAAAAGGTAAAAAAAAAAACTGTGTGAAATTAAAACCTAACTCAACTCATAAACTGACTATAGATTTGTTGAAATTCAATTGGTTCAACAAGGACTAGTTGTTGTGTGGCAGTCCGTTTGACAGAAGTCAATCATTAGGTCGACTTCTCTCAAGCTGAAAAGTTGGAAAACTTTTGTTAATTAAGGGTGCAGCCTCAAAGTATTCTGAGAGTGCTGGGTCTTGCTGTCAGAATATGGCCGGCAGGGAAGTTGTGGGGGATTTCTCTATCCACCTCATTTCTGTGGATGGAGGAATCTGTTTGACCAGATTTAATATGGTCATGCACTTGAAATGTGGCCAATCCAACAGAGACTGGCCAAATTTCCATCAGTGTGCAGACTCCTCGGATAAGTAGAAGTTGATTATTTATTAGGCATCTGTCGACATGTCAGAAAAATTTCAGTCAGCAGCCGCAGCCACTGATCAGTGTTTCAGAATGCACTGTGCCAGCAGAGGGGAAACCTCCATCCACCTTGTTTGTATGGATGGAGGAATCTGTTGCTGGCTGGATGAAAAAAAAAATTGAGTATATCCAGTTTTAGGCACTCTTCTTTATAGTCTTTATTTCTTGCAGGTAGAGGAGCCATCTGTGTTCTGTTGGTTTATATGGAGCGGACACGACAGAGTCCGCTCTGCTCTATGGGTGGCCAGGTGTAAATGGACTCTGGCTGCCCTTTTATACCTGACTGCCCTCTGATCCGATCCACCTAGCCAGAAGAGGACACATCCCTTCCCTTTTTTTTTTTCAGTGATTCCAGATCAGACAGGAGGTAGGTGGGCACAAGTCCATTTACACCAACTGGTCCATAGCGGTGAATGGACCATCTGATCAGGTCCGTCTGAAAAACTGACAGCCAGACCTGATCGGACCCTTCATGTGAAAGGGGCCTAATGATTAGAAAATCAAAGTGTTTTGAAAACAAATATTTTCACACAAAATTCTACTAGTGTATAGGCAGTTTTAGTTTAAATCAGTCAAATACATTCCAGGTGCATCAGATCAAAAGGTGTGTAAATTATTAAACTGGCCATAAAAGATTCTTCATATTTTGTTCAGCCAGCTGACTGAACCCAGCACAAATCCTCTCCTACTCAATCCCCTGCAGAAGAAATCCTCTCAATCCCCAAACCTCCCCCACTTCAGCATAAATTTCCCCTCAGAACAAATCCTTTCCCCCGCACAACTCATCTCCTCCCCCAAATTTACCAGTGCTAATTCTCTCCTCCCCCAAATTTCCCAGTGCTAATCCTCACCCCCAGATTCCCGCCTTAGCAAAAATCCTCTCTACCATAACACAAATCCTTTCGCCCCCATAAATCCCCCCTGCCAGTACTAATCCCTCCACCTCCAAATCCCCCCTCCCAGCACAAATCCTCTTCCCCCAAATCCCTCCTCTTAGCACATATCAACACCTTCCCAACTTCACCCTCCCAGCACAGATCCTCTCCACCCTAACACAAATCCTTTCACCTCCATAAATTCCCCCTTCAAATCCCCCCTACCAGTACTAATTCTCCCCTCCTAGCACAGATCCTCTTCTCCCCCTAAATCCCATCTCCCCAGCACAAATCCTATACCCCAAATCACCTCCTAGCAATAATCATCTCCCACCCCCCAGCACATCTCCCAGCACAAATCTTCTCTCCCAAATTCCACGTCCCCAGTACAAATAATATTCCCCCCCAAATTTCCCCTCTTAGCACAAATCCTCTCCTCCAACACAAACCCTCTCATCCTTCCCAAGTCCCCCCTCCCAGCACAAATCCTCTCCCCCAATTCCCTCCTCTTAGCACATATTGACCACCCTGAATTCACCCTTCTAGAACAAATCCTCTCCTCCCCCCAAAATCCTCCTCTTAGCACATATTAACCACCTAATTTTCACACTTCTAGCATACAGTGGGGCAAAAAAGTATTTAGTCAGCCACCAATTGTGCAAGTTCTCCCACTTAAAAAGATGAGAGAGGCCTGTAATTGGCATCATAGGTAGACCTCAACTATGAGAGACAAAATGAGAAAACAAATCCAGACAATCACATTGGCTGATTTGGAAAGAATTTATTTGCAAATTATGGTGGAAAATAAGTATTTGGTCAATATCAAAAGTTCATCTCAATACTTTGTTATATATTCTTTGTTGGCAATGACAGAGGTCAAACGTTTCCTGTAAGTCTTCACAAGGTTGGCACACACTGTTGCTGGTATGTTGGCCCATTCCTCCATGCAGATCTCCTCTAGAGCAGTGATGTTTTGGGGCTGTCGCTGGGCAACACGGACTTTCAACTCCCTCCAAAGGTTTTCTATGGGGTTGAGATCTGGAGACTGGCTAGGCCAATCCAGGACCTTGAAATGCTTCTTACGAAGCCACTCCTTCGTTGCCCAGGCGGTATGTTGCCCAATGGCGGTGCAGGTAGGGCAGTGTGCACACATGTGTGTGCCCCCTACCCAGAAATGCAAATCACGTATATATACGTGACTTTGTGCAGCCCTGTAGCAGTATTTCTGCTATAGGGAGGAGGGCAACTGGTTAAGAATAGATGTGTCTATTGGAAGGAGGTGAAAAACCAGTGACACAGCTGGCCAGAAAGTCTCATGGTCGAGTATCTTCTCTCTGTTGCATTCAACCACGTGGGATAAAATGTTGTACCATGGATTTGACAATCTTGAAAATGACATTTTCTGCATGAACTTACATTGATTGAGTCTATAAAGGTGTCAGTATTATTGTTCCACAAGAGTAGAAAAAGTCTTATCACAAACACAAGTTTGGTTTGAAACACTCATTTCATCTCCAGTCTGTATATTCAGGTAGACATTACCATTTCAAGCTTTCTATTAGTAGATGTTCTACAGTTATGTAATAATGTCACATGCCTTTCTTAAGATGACAGATCAGTGGTGTAACTCATGGCACTGCAACAAGTCATTACACAAGCAGTGTGGTTATTAGGGCTGGACTGCTAACTGATGTCCTGATATTTCACAGCACAGCTTTGAGATTACGTGTTAGTGGCTTGTTCTCTTCCTGCCAACACCATGAGAAATACAGAATCACATAATTCATTTGTATCCAAACCCAAAAACAAACATTTAAAGTGTTACTAAACCCAGGGCCCTTCATTCACTATATCTGGTCTCCCGCAGTACACAGAACATAGAAATGCAATTATTTTAGTAAATATAAACGTCTAAATACCTTTTCTCATCAGCAGTTAGAGCAGTCTTGTGACTTTTATCAGAGTCCAGCTGAGCACTTGTTAAAGCATGTAGGAGGAGTTTTATTTCTGCTCTAGGTGGATGCATAACCCCTGACTTTTGTCTGGACAGTGCTGATTGGCCCTGTGCTGATCACATACACTCTCCCAAAAAAAAAAATAAAACCACCAGCAATACACACCAAACTGAGCATGTGCAGAGTGTCTCCACACGGTATGTCTTATCAAGAGATCAGAGGGAGACACTGGAAGAAGGGGAGGGTCAGAAAAGTCAGGATCAAGCAGCATTTTTACACAATGCAGAGGATTAACCCCTTAGGTTCCAGAGTGAGTATAACAAGCGTGCTTTACTGCATATGCAGACTGAATTTACTGTTGTGGGTTTAGTACCACTTTAAAGCGGAGCTCCACCCAAAAGGGGAACTTCCTCTTTAAGCCTTTGTCCCCCGTTACCCATTAAGGATTGGCACCTTTGGGGAGCGGGTATCAGAATTCGACAGGATTGTCACCTTTGGGGAGTGGGTACCCGAATTTGACAGGTCAAAGAAGATTACGGGTCAGTGCAGCACTTCTCGCGCATGCGCAGTGGGCACCCGACTTTGAAGCTGCAAGCTGTCACAGCCGGGTGCCCACACTGTAGATTCAGGCACCAGGGAGAGAAGACAGATGGTGAAACCTGCAGTGGTGAGGACACCGCTGGACTGAGGGACAGGTGAGTGTCTGTATTTTAGAAGTCAGCAGCTACAGTTTTGTAGCTGCTGACTTTTTTTTTCAGGTGGAACTCCTCTTTAAGTTTAGTAGTCCTAAGATGTGGTGGCTGCATCGGTTTTCTTTTTTTCAGGCTTTTTTCTCTATATTATCCTGGTAATCCTGCTTATAACATGATTCCTGTCCTAGGGTGACAGCATCCCACATTCGTTCTCCATGGTCCCAGTGTATGTAGGAATGTAACCAAGCTCTCTTGCTCACTCCTGAGAGAGACTAGGGACCACAACTAAAGGGCTGTGCTTGTTCCAGACAAACAGCAGTGGGGGGAAAGAAAAGGAGGTTTGAGAGCTCACATAGGACAGTATGAGTAAGTGGAAAAACACAGTAAGAAACAATTTCATGGAAAATAGATTACAGGGCCAATGAAGCAGTATTGAACCCAATATCAAAAATTTTAAATATTGCAGTTTACTAATTCTTAGATATGACGGCTGCATTAGGTTTAGTTTTTTGGATTTTTTTCCTTTTCTTTTCCCCTGTTGAGCCGCCAGTGAGTTATTTTTCAACTTGCTTTATTAGATCATTTCAGTTAACTCTTAGATGGGCTTCTTAACGAATACAATATACAGGGAAGTGGTATTGACATAAACATATACACAACAGACTGAACTGGATGGACTGGTGTCTTTATTCAACCTTATCAACTATGTAACAAAAGTGTAGCAAACGTGGCGGTTAGAGGGTTTAGACAAACCATTTAACACTGACAGGGGTGCTTACAATGATCAACTTCTATTTTTTTTATGTAAAACCTTTATCCCAAAAAGAATAAAAAAACTGTTTGCTGTAACTGCTTTTAAATTGTTATCTGGAGTTCAGCTTTAATTTGTTAGTCAATTTCATCTAAATCTAGGGAATCTAATACTCCCCTCCCCCCCAGATTGACATTAATACTGTCCAACTGTGTCTCGGTTGCTCTTCCATTCAGAATGGAGACAATGTAATACAGGAAGTACAGTATGTTGCCGGCCAGATCACCAGGTGAAATAAAAGGAAAAAATCGAATAAAAAGAAAACTAATGCAGCCACCACATTTATGGATTGGAAAGCTGCAGTATATTACATTTTTGTTTTTCGGTTTAGATGTGTTTTAAGTAGTGGATGTGCGTGGTTGATTTTTTGAGGAATAAGAATATCATTTAGTCCTCATGCACATTGGATGTTTTTACAGCTGCTGATTTTGGCTTTTGGCATTTTTTTCTACAGCCAGTAAACTCCCCAACATGTTATCCTATGTGTCCATGCACATATAGACTTTAACCACTTGCCCTCCAGAGGATTTACCCCCCTACCTGACCAGGCCATTTTTTGTGATACGGCACTGCATTACTTTAACTGACAATTGCGCGGTCATGCAAAGCTACACCCAAATGAAATTTATGTATTTTTCCCCACAAATAGAGCTTTATTTCTGTGGTATTTGATTGCCTCTGCATTTTTAATTTTTTAAGCTATAAACAAAAAAAAAAAACGACAATTTTGAAAAAAACTATATTTTTTACTTTTTTCTATAAAACATGTCCAGTAAAAAAAAAATAAAAAAAAAAAACAAATTTCAGCATAAATTTAGGCCAAAATGTATTCTGCTACATGTCTTTGCTAAAAAAAAATCCCAATACATGTAAATGAATTGGTTTACGTGAAAGTTATAGCGTCTACAAATGGCGGTATATATACTGGAATGTTTTTTTTTTTTTTTTTTAAATACTAGTATGTCAGCAATCTGTGACTTATGGTGGGACTGTGGCGGTCATTCTGACACTGGGGGGAGCTGACTAACTGCCACTGACATCCCCAGTGACACCAATTCAGTGATCAGTGCTAATAAAAAAGCACTAACACTGTACTAATGACACTGGGCAGGAAGGGGTTAATATCTGGGGAGATCAAAGGGTTGTGTGTGTTTTACTAGGGAAACATGCTACTGTGTATTTCTCTGCGGTGTTTTACTAGGGAAACATGCTACTGTGTATTTCTCTGCGGTTGTTTTACTAGGGAAACATGCAACTGTGTATTTCTCTGCAGTGTTTTACTTGGGAAACATGCTACTGTGTATTTCTCTGCGTTGTTTTACTAGGGAAACATGCTACTGTGTATTTCTCTGCGGTGTTTTACTAGGGAAACATGCTACTGTGTATTTCTCTGCAGTGTTTTACTAGGGAAACATGCTACTTTGTATTTCTCTGCTGTGTTTTACTAGGGAAACATGCTACTGTGTATTTCTCTGCGCTGTTTTTACTAGGGAAACATGCTACTGTGTATTTCTCTGCTGTGTTTTACTAGGGAAACATGCTACTGTGTATTTCTCTGCAGTGTTTTACTAGGGAAACATGCTACTGTGTATTTCTCTGCGGTGTTTTACTAGGGAAACATGCTACTGTGTATTTCTCTGCGTTGTTTTACTAGGGAAATGCTACTGTGTATTTCTCTGCGGTGTTTTACTAGGGAAACATGCTACTGTTATTTCTCTGCAGTGCGGAGAAGTACACAGCAGCATGTTACTGCTGGCAGGAGAGAGACCTGTGTTGCTTACACACAGGTCTCTCCCCTGTCACTGTTCCTTGGCAATTGCCAGGTGCTGGCGGGGAATCTCTGTCCGGGACCCGGTGATCATCATCTGTAGCCGCCAATGGCGGCGCAGGTAGGGCGGCGCGTGCGCGTCTCCTACCCAGAAATGCAAAATCACATATATACGTGATTTTACGCAGCCATGCCACGGGGAAGTAGTTAATCAGCATTTTTTTTCCCAAAACTAGTGGGTTTCTAGAGGAGTTTTTTAGCTCTAAAAACGCTCTAATGTTAGTAAACACAGAAAACGTGGCAAAGCGGCTTTTTTGGCTTTTTTGGGGATTTTTTTTAACAAAAATTGTATTTATTTTTTGTGTGTAAAAAAACGCTAAAAAATGCAAACGTGGAAAAACATGCCTAAACACTAATGCAAAAACACTAAACAATGTGGAAAAACTCGTGTTTTTAACGTGACTTTATACAGATAATGCTACCAGCGGGTTTAAAATGCCCAGTGTGCATGAGGACTTAGTGTCACTTTAGCTTCTTGTTGGCAGCAAACTCATTTGCAACACTCTATTAGTGTGCTGCAAATGAGATATTTGTTTACAATACTGTCTGATGTAGATAAGAGAAAGAACATTTCTAAATTGTGAAGTGGGTTGCTGCAATCTGTACTTGCCCAGAGGAGGAACTACCAGTCTCAATGCACCAGCAGTGACATACGGCATAGATACAGACAAGCTGTTTCTTGTGTGTTCCAGTGCACTGTTATACTATTAATCAAATAAGGCTTGGCTTGGAGGAGGAACTATCTCAAAACAATCTGTCTGTTCTTTTTAACAAGAAGAGACCTGTAGCTAAGTGGTTTTGGAGTTTTCTCATAGATAAGAATGCATATTAAATCAACTATGTCAGACATTTACTAAGCTTACCTATTTTTTTTTTAATAGGAAATATTGTAAAGCATACTAGAATGCATAAAATATACATACTTTATCTTGTAAAGCAATATCTGGCCAGCTCCACAGCACCGTGGTAGTTCATTGAGAACTACAAGCCGACAGCCATTAATGCTGGGCAAAGCCCTGCACGGTCACGTTTTTTTTTAAAAATTTAACAACTAGCGAGGGAGAAGATCCCACGCTAGCTGTCAAACTGGGGGGGAGCAGGGGCCGGTCTGATCATAACATGTTACACCCTGAATATAAGGGGAAAAGTATCATGTTATGAAAGGTGAACTTATCCTTTAACACGGTGAAGCTGTGAGGGCAGGTGTGAAGCTGCGAATGTGATTTGGGGCAGTGGCCATCAGGAGAGTGCACAGTAAATACTGGATACTGAATGTGATACATTTAACTGTAGAATTTGCTGTAATTGACTCATACACAGGGTATGTGCCTTTATCTACTGTATGTTTGATTGTTTTTTGAAGGGTGCAGTAGCCCAAAGTATTTATGGAACAGCTATGGGATAAATGGATATATGGCAGGCTTCATATTCTTTTGTAGTAGCAACTTTGGGAATACCAGGTAAAACTCCGGACATGAGGAAAACAAACCTTTTATTCCCCAGCTGATGAGAATCACCTAGCCAGACTCATGTCTGCAAAGCTAAGTGGCTTGAAAAACATCCCACAGGGTATACATTTTAACAATTACATGCATATATTTCCTCTTTCACCTTCTGTACATTCAAAAGACTTTCTAAACTGTGCAGTATATGGCGTTGAGTACCAGCTACAGATAAGAATACCAGCTACAGAATGGAACACATTACTTCACAGGAAATAAGGAATGGGGGAAGTGAGCTGATAACCTTTCTTTTGCAAACAGATGCTGTTAGAAATGTTAACGTTTAAATGGAAAATCTGCAATATTTGGGTGCTGCCACACTTTCATGATATGTGTACTGTAAAGAGAACCAGTCAGGAATAGTTAAGTCTTTGAGTATCCACTTGTACTGTGTTGTTTTATTATGACAGTTTTAGCACTGTTATTTATTTGTACTCTCTCCTTGTCAGTGTCAGACTTCAAGCCTCTGATGGACCTGACTGTTAATTAAAGAAACGCCTTTAGTTTGCTTTCAGTGTGATTATATAGTGCAACATTAATGCAACTTGGATGTGGTTTGGATATTCAGTATGCATATTCTATGGGGCCAAAATTGCACTAGCATGCCACCAAAGTAGTACAGGAAAAAAATGCATTTACCAAAATCGCATTGATGTGAACGAGCACCACTGAAGACATTGTGATTTCCTTTGTCATAGGATTCTGTGTGACTCAAGTCCCATATGAAATCGCACTAGTGTGAATGGAGCCTAATGCTTTTTGTCCTGTCAGGAAGAGAACAAAAGGCAACTGTACATTAACTATTCAAAAATGGTGTTTCATGATAGTACATCTGTATACTAGATACTTTCTCTCCTTAGTTTTGTGTATGTGTTTAACTTGAGAAGTGAACTTTTACACAGAAAAAGTTATGCAAGTTATGTTGCGAATGTGAAAACCTGTACCTGCTTCTGCTATTTTGGAACATATAAGAGAAAGAAATACCCATCTTTTCAGATGTGCAGCACGAATGATTCCACTAATATCCATCAACTACCTGCAAGTGACTTGCTTTACCCCACTAAAGCAAATGTCCAATGTTTTTCTGTGCATGCTTACATTGCTTTGATAATTACCGTACTCATACTGCTGTCACATCAAGCATACAATTTTGGGGGATACAGTAAACCTTTATAGTATAACTGCCAAAACCTATATTCTAGTTTTACATAAAGAGTTAAAACCATTGTAAGGTCATACTACTGTATTCACCTCATGAAACAATGACAAACAAAAGCAGCGAAAAAAAAAGAAAAATAAAACACAATAGCAAAGTGAAAATATGACACAAAATATAACACTTCAATAAATATACACAAATATTTAAATAATTTGACATAAGTCCATCAACTGAAAAATGTGATGAAGTGCAAAGTCCTTATTGAGATCACCATGTGAACAACATAACAATAATTGATTGAGTAAAACGCACTCAGATATCACCATGTGTTCCAGAGGAAAACCTCCCCCAATTCAGTGGCACTCACCAGATATAGTGGCCCATCCAAACCTGATAGGCATTAGCACTTATGGTGAGTGTCAGCGTAGTACAGATCATCAATCAACAAGCCCTTCATCAATTAGAGACTGATATCATGGCGGGACATCCTCCAAACTATTACACTCCGTAATCCAATTGCCATGTTCCACACTACTGTATGTCTCTGGCCATCTTCCTTTTCTGTTGACTAGTGCCACATAAGAAGTGAGATGAAATAAGCACATACAGCAATTTAAACACTTTAGATTTAAAAGGAAAGTGTAGTTTGATCAGCAATCAGTTTGATGTAAATAATATTGTCAATGTGTGTTAAAGTAAAAAAAAAACTATTTGTAGTTTGCAATTATATATGTACATGGATACAGCCACATTTCCCCATTACATATGCAGGCACTGCTTCCTACTCTGCTGTGCTACAGAATGGTTGTGCTTTATTGCTCCTTCTCAAACTGCAAGTCTTTGAGTTGTCCAACCCTTTAAGAATAACGCACTCCCTATGTGGCTAATATCCTCTCTCAATAGTTAGCTACTTCCGTCCCTCTGGTAGGGCGTCATATGACGTCCTTCCCGGATCACGCTTTGCACATGCCGGCAGGGCTGCGCTGTGGCGAGATTTGTCACCAGCTGTGTACCTCAGACATGGCCGATGACAGATCTGTGTAGCGGCCCTGTTGCCAGTACCATGTGACCTGCTGTGACCAATCACAGCAGGCCACATGACGGTTGTATACAATGGATGGCTTCCTTTCATGCCATCCATTGTATACAAGTGTGTCTAGCTGTGAATGGTCACAGTGATCACATGCACAGGCTGGGCCAATCACAGCCCATCTGTGTCATGTGATTAGCCATGGCTAATCACAACAAAAAAACCTGAATTAATCGATTTCATTCAGTTAAATGCTTGCTTATAGCAAAGAAATCCTTTGCTATAAGCAATCAAATTGTGTAAAAAAAAAAAAAATACTGATCACTTCCTCAAAGTAGTACAATGTTACTATGGTAACATTATACTACTTTGGTTATAGTGTAATAGTAAAAAAAATTGTAAAAAAAAAATGATAAATTTTTTTTTTTTTGTACTGTCACCAGTCAGTGTCCCTGATCACTGCTACACCAGTTATATGATGTCACTGTACTACACTGGTTACAGTATGTAAAAAAAAATTGTGAAAAAAAATTTTTGTATTTCTTCGTTTTGTAAAAAATTATGACAAAAAAATTACAACTTCAAAAAACTCGCCATGCCTCTCAACCTGAAAATTGGCCTGGGCAGGAAGTGCCTGGAATTGAAGTGGTTAAGCATGGTGCAAGTGAAGTAACATAACAGTTCAACGTGTGTATGTGCTTGTGTTAATGTCACTACCATTTTCCATATCCCTGTATATTGTGTCCACTAAGAAACACATCTAAAAGCTTTGTTTGAATTTATCAACACTTTCTGTTGACGCCTTCAACTGTGGAAGGGAGTTCCACATCCTTACTGCTCTAACAGTAAAAAATCCCTAATGTAGTTTAAGATTGAACCACTTCTCTTCCAACATCATTGTGTGGACGTATAGAGACCTAAGATTAAACGAAGATTTCTCCAAATGATACAGTCAACATTTAGAGATTTGTATATTCTTCAGGAGAATAAGTTTCGTTTTTTTAGTCGTTCCTCATAACTGAGGTTTGGCTGTCAAGTCCACAAATGCTGGATAGCAGGGCAGCAGTGTATCTCTTGTAAGTGTACCTCTATGGGGTGATGCAGTTCAATGGGGATGGGCTCCTCTTCCCAGAGTTACCGAATATGGATGAGTATGCATTTCAGCGATTCACCTTCTTCATCAGCCGTCGGGCTTGTGCAATATATTACCTATGGGTTCCTTTAAAATGTTTACTTTGCATTTAATCTGTGCACTCTCACCTCTGTTTGGACTGATGTATTTCAACTATGCACCTAATCATATTTCTTGTATTTAATTTAAATCTTTACACTGAAGAACCTCAAATGCAGTGTAAATGTGTTAATTACCATGTGAATCATTTTAACTATGCTGATGTATTTTGCTCTTAGGCTCATCATCCTCTAATGAATATGCCCGAGTTATGTTTGACTACATTTCTGCTGTGCCAGATGAGCTGTCATTGAAGAAGGGAGATGTTGTATCCATTATAAACAAGGTACAGTGAAATTAATGTTTATAAGATGTAATTATTTCTCACAGGTATTCATATAGTGCTGAAAATTTATGCAGCGCTTTACATACTGTATATATTATATAGTCACATCAGTCCCTACCCCCAAGGAGCTTACAATCTACAGTTTCACATTTAAACACATATTAAGGCCACTTTAGATAGGATCCAAGTACCTGCCAGCATGTCTTTGAAGTGTTGGAGGAAACTGCAGTACCCAGAGGATATCCTTGCAGGGACAGGGTGAATATGCAAACACCAGGCAGATAGCACCATGGTTGGGATTTGAACTGATGACCCTAGTACTGCCAGGCAGAGGTGCTTACCAAAATAAAATCAAAGCAGAAAAAGCGAGCACTAAAACCGTAAGCAGCTGATGCACCAAAAAGGTAACCAAAAAACAACCTCCAAAGTAATCAAATAAATGTAGGTGCAGCGCTAAAATGTCAGAATAAATGAATGTAACACAATCATATGCAATAAATATATAAAAAATAATGCATAAAATCAAATGATTACTGGTATACCCAAATAAGGTGACAAAGTACAAATATTGTGTTAAAATAAAGTGCTAATCAGGTGACAATCGTGAGCATGTAATAGTGCTAAAATATCAAACTCCAGTATATGACATAGGAATGTCCATAAAGTGTTAATCGTGAAGATCCATCCAAGAATGATCTTAGGTAAGTGCTTCGTATACTCTAACGATTATTCAGGTGATGTGCCGAGAATGTGTTAAGATTAAGTTCTCACCAGATGCGTAATCATAATACGCATTTGTATATAAAGTTGTCAGCCGGAGGTCCCCTTAAGGATGTATACAGCCTGGTGTGGTCAGAGAGATCCCCTTCCCCTGGGTTATCTGCAGCACCTCAGCCGTCCTCCAGAGTGGGCTCTGTGGTTATGTCAGCTCATAAAGAGCCAAAAAGAAGGATGCCCATAGTGTAGTATTTCCAAGTAAAATTGTTTTATTAAGGTAAAGTAAGGTGAACCTTAATAAAACGATTTTACTTGGAAATACTACACAATGGGCATCCTTCTTTTTGGCTCTTTATGAGCTGACATAACCACAGTGCTAAACTTCATTGATTTACCTTTACCAATATAAGATGTATTTAAATTTCAGAAGTGTATTTAATAATTATAAAATTAACACACAAGCAGTATTTATGTTATGTAAAAATTGTACTTGGACCTGTAGAACCTGTGAAGAAAAGATCACCTTTTAGTAAGGCACAGAAATGCTTGAGATTTTGTGTAGGGTTTATGCTTACAGTAAGCTTACATCATTTTTCATTTGTGTTTACTATCAGCATATAAACAAGAGACTGCTCTCTCTAAAATTAGAGGTCTCTTACAGGGGCGGACTGACAACTCATGGGGTCCCCCGGGCAATAGGGGATCATGGGGCCCCTGTGTCTTTGCCCAAACTCAAAAAAGCCTATGAAAAAGGTACCAGGGGATCTCATGGGGCCCCCTACTGACCCCGGGCCCTGAGTTTCCAAATGGTCAGTCCGCCCCTGGTCTCTTATCTCCTAGTACACCAGCAAGCCGAGATATGAGTGATTTTAATGACACAGCACTCAATCCTATTACCCAACAAAAAAGACTTGTTTAACCCGTTTCTTATTTAAAATAGAGTTGCATACATTTGCAAATAGATATGGGAGTTACGTAACAAGGATTCTATCTGTCAGGGATCTCATGCCGGGTCCCCCAGGCGCACTGCTCCACCCAGTGCACGGGCACTAGGTCAGGGCCGGCCGCGGCGTTCGAGTTCGCGCATGCGCAGTAGAAGCCGCGGCCGCCCGCCCGCTGGGCACCATGGCAGCGCAGGGCAGGATATTTAAAGGTCCCTGAGCTGTCATTTCGTTGCCTTCTGGTCTTACCTGCTCTCCTGTGATCCTGTACCTGTGCCTAGTAAGTTATTGACCAGGATTGCCTTTGACCTTGCTGATTTCTGCCCAGACCCCTGCTTGCCTGACCTCTCTCCCTGGATGCTTATTAGATTGACCTCCTGTTAATGGCGTGTGACCCGACGATTTACTCTGCACTCCCTTGTACCTTACCGTCCTCTACATTACCCTCGGCCCTGTCTGACTACGCAAATCCAATCCCAGGGCTCACCCGACCTTGTTTGGTTGCCAAGAACCCCTGGCGAACAAGGATAACCTACTGATGTGCTAGTTGGGAAATAGACCTGGTTGGGGTACTACAATTTAGTCCTCCCCACCATTGGTGAAAACAAAAACCCGGGGCTTAGAAATGGGCGCTTGGGCACGCCTGACCAGTGGAGTGCTAGTGGTGCCGCTCGGCGGTCCCTCACACTATCATTCCCAAACTTGCAAAAAAAAAGCAGATGAAGATGCATACACAAAATAAACACAAATTAATTTAAAATGAATCTGGACTGCACACATCAGGAGGAGTGTTTTAAGCACACAGCTCCTCTAGCCAGCAAGAAGATCATTTATTTATTTATTACAGTTTAATTACTTTATATAGGTGTCCTTTTATGAAACTGAGATCAGCGGAGATCCTGAGATCATTACTGATCTCAGATCATTAGTGGCTTAGGAAACAGAGATGATCAGCGGAGAACATGTTCTTCGCTGATCATCTCAGCACACAGATGGCCAGTATATAAAGGTTTGAAGGAGCGATGTCAGCCCTTCACTGGCAATCTGTGTTCTCCCTCCAGAGTCTCCAGCCCAGAGGTGGAGAATCGGGGGAACCGCAAACAAAGCAGAGGTAATTTACAGCTGCTTAGTAAACTGTGTTTGACGGATCTCTTACTGTAATCTCGCGAGATTATAGTAACAGCAGCCGTTTTCTAGCGTTCAAAGCATTTGTAGATCACTTCTTTCCTCATTCGGAAAAGTGATCTACACCGCTTCATAAAAAGGCATTCAGAGGAGAACTCTCTCCTCTGAGAATGCCAGAGAATTGAGCAGCGGTCATTTACCGCTGCATGATGAAAAGGGACACCATAGTGCTGTAAAGTTACACAGCTTTTTACATATGTATTGTACATTCACATCAGTCCCTGCACTCAAGGAGCTTAAGTTCCCTAGCTCACATTCATATAGTACACATATTAGGGCCAGTTTAGACAAGTGCCAATTAAAACTACCAGCATGCCTTTGGAGTGCCAAGAGAAAACCTATTAAGGCATAAGGATAACATACAAACTCCAGGCAGGTGGTGCCATAGTTGGGATTTGAACCAGTGACCCTAGGGCTGCTAAGCAGAAGTGCTAACCATTTAGTCACTGTACTGCATTGATTTGAGTAGGCTGTGAAAACACCAAAACAAACTTAAGATTGGACAATTACCTTTTTTTTTAATGCAGCACAATAATTTAATATGTGTTTGCAACACCTGTTGAAGGTGTGTAGCCTTAGTGTGTTGTTTGGGATGCCATTGAAAATGAATGGCACTGCAATGAACTAACATATGCATGGTATGTTACTACAAAACACTGCAATAGATTGGTGCAAATGGGCTCCAGCTGTTGTTGAGGGACACGTGACTATCCCTGAGATACAAAAAAGATTCAAACATACAGCCATTATGGTGGCTTCCCTTAATACATGCATACATACAGCGATATGGCAAATCATAGATGTGTGGGTTATGTGGAGCCACCATTAGGTGGAGAACACTAGCACATACAACATCTATAATTTACTAGATCCCTGTGACCCTCAAATGGTGCAATAAAAAGATTTTATGTTAAGTACACAAATTTTATCTTTATATGAAGACATATGGAATATTTGGTCAGATGTGCCATACTGATTGTATGGGTAGAGAGACTGGGATCAATTCATGGTGAGGAAGTAGAAGAAGCAAAAGCTGATAATGATTAATTGGAAGAAGAGGCGTAGCTGGTGTTATTGGTAGGCAGTGGGTGCGGAAGGTGGAAAGGCAAGGTAACAATTGATCGTTAACTCCAGTGTAGATAGAGAAGGCAGAACAGCAGCTGATTGTGGGGGTATCGCGAGACAGTATCATAGCATGGAATGGCTGTGACAGCAACGTCTGATCATGGAACATTGGGCAGAGCAGGAGCTGTCTGTGAACCTGGGAAGAAAAATGAAAGAAAGCTTTGCTAGGGAGTGCACAGCCTACCTGCCTCTAAAACCCAAAACAATTTTATTTTATTCTTTTTTTTTTTGCGAATGATTTGAGGTCAGCAGTTATTTTTAGTTGCTGACCAGTCCATAGCAAACTTTTTTTTTTGCTGCAAGGGTTCCATTTAAAATGGCCTTTTGTTGGTATTCCAGGGTTTTCTTTTTTCATTTGGTGGTATTTTTTTATGGTTTTATGATGATAATATGTATATTTTATGTTAACCACTTGCCCTCCAGAAGATTTACCCCCCTTCCTGATCAGGCCATTTTTTTGATACGGCACTGCGTTACTTTAACTGATAACTGCAGTCATGCAACGCTTCACCATCTTTTTCCCACAAATAGAGCTTTCTTTTGGTGGTATTTGATCACCCCTGCGGGTGTTTTTTTTTTTTGGGGGGGGGGATTGCGCTATAAACAAAACAAACAAAATTGGCAAAAAAAAAAAATATATATTTTGACTTTTTGCTATAAAAATATTTACATTTCTTCATAAATTTAGGCCAAAATGTATTCTGCTACATGTCTTTGCTAAAAAAAAAATCCCAATAAGTGTATATTAATTGGTTTACTTGGTTTAATTGGTGAAAGTTATAGCGTCTACAAATGGTGGTATATACACTGGAATTTTTATTTTTTTTTTTTTTATACTAGCAATGGCAGCAATCAGCGAGACTGCGGAGGGGCATTCTGACACTGGGTGGGAACTGACTAACTGCCACTGACATCTCCAGTGACACTAATACAGTGATCAGTGCTAATAAAAAGCACTGACACTGTACTAATGACACTGGGCAGGACAGGGTTATTATCATGGGCAAAAAAGGGGTTAACAGTGTGCTGTGTTGTGTTTTACTTGGGAGACATGCTGCTTTGTATCTCTCTGCTGTGCAGAGATACAAAGCAGCATGTTCATGCTGACAGGAGAGAAATCTGTGTTGTTTACACACAGATCTCTCCACTCTCAGACCTGCCGACAATCATCGAGTCCCATCCAGAACCTGGTGACTGACATATTCAGCAGCCAATAGGGTAGGGCAGCCCGCGCACGATCCCTACCCAGAAATGTAAAATCATTTATTTACAGTGCGCAGCATAAATGAGTACACCTCCTTTGAAAAGTAAGATTTTAATCAATATCTCAATGAACACAAGAACAATTTCCAAAATGTTGACACAACTGAGTTTTATAGGACATTTGTTTACTCATTACATGAAAGTAAGGTTAATAATATAATTTAGATTACAAAATCTTCAGTTTTACTCAAATTAGTTGATGCAAAAATGGATACGCCCCACAACAAAAACGACTACATCTAGTATTTTGTGTGACCTCCAGGAATTGTAAGGATAGCACGAAATCTTCTAGGCATGGAATGAACAGTTGGTGACATATTGCAACATCTATCTTTTTCCATTCTTCAAGAACAACCTCTTGTAGAGCCTGAATGCTGGATGGAGAGTGATGCTCAACTTGTCCCTTCAGAATTCCCCATAGGTGTTTGATTGGGTTCAGATCAGGAGACATACTTGGCCACTGAAGCTCTTTCACCCTGTTCTTTTTCAGAAATGCAACAGGGGTCTTAGATGGGTGTTTTGGATCATTGTCATGTTGGAAAAGTGCTCAACGACCAAGGGCACGGAGGATAGCAGCATCTTCTCTCTCAACATAGGGCAGTACATCTGTGAATTCATACCATCAATGCAATGCTGCTCCCCTATACCTGTAGCACAGTTTTGAAGCCATCAGTTCCAAAAATATTTATCTTGGTATCATCACAGAGTACCCAGTAGTCTTCTTCTTTTTTCAGCATGGGCCCTGGCAAATTCTAGGCGGGCTCTTTGGTGCTTGGGCTTTAGGAGAGGCTTCCTTCATGGACGACACCCATGCATGCTATTCCTCTGCAGTGTACGCCGTATTGTGTCACAGGAAACAGTCACCCCAGTTTAGCTTTCTACATCATTATATGAATGCAGTGAACTTATATGGTGATTTTCTTCAACTCTTCTCATCAGAAGACACTACTGTTGAGGTGTTAACTTCCATGGACAGCCTGGACATCTCTGTGAGATGTTTGCAGTTCCATCTTTGTTACATTTTTGTATCACTTTTGCTACAGTATTTTGACTGATATGTAAAGCTTTGCTGATCTTCTTGTAGCCTTCACCTTTCTTGTATAAAGAAATTATTTTCTTTCTCAGGCCTTGTGACTTTTCCCTTCCATGTGGTGCCATTGCTGACAGCATGAAAGGGGTTTTCTTTGTTAAGTAAGGTCCTTTTGTAATTAACTGTCTGCTGGACACCTGTT